CAGCACAGTGTAGGAACAAGATGATAAACAGCTTTCTGATTGCAGGGGGACTTTAAGTCTTTTGTTGTTCCTAATAACCTCCAAAGCAAACAAACAGCTGGTTATCCTTCATCAGTTGTCATATCAAACAGAGATGAGATGCAAATCTGCAGTTAAAAATTTATTGAGACATAGTTAGCGTCTTTCAATGTACAGTACATATGCGTGAAATCAGCTGACATATATACAGAAATATTTACCATACGCTGCTATTTAAAAAAAAGGGACATTCTGGCCTTTCTCCAAGTCTACTGTATGTTCAGCGGGAAGTTCAGTACACTTAACTAAAATGTGCAGCACACACACATTTGCTTTGGGGCAGTTTTATCAAAATGAAAGTCCTACATCCTGTAACCCTGAGGTTTACTATCACATTATGCAGACAAGTGGTATGGAACAGAATAACAACGCCCATTCACTCAGTTGGCAGTTTACTGATAATAAGGCCGGTAGCGGCCCTGATCTGGGTGGTGTGGTCCGGGCATCTGGCCCTGGGGAGGAGGGCCCTGCATTCGTGGCGGTGGGGGCCCTCTTGGAGCAGGCCACATCCCAGGACTGAGCCCTCCTGGTTGGCTGAACGGGGGACTGAGGGTGCCCTGGTCTTCTTGGAACTGCTGCATGGAGTTGGGGTTGTAATGGTGCGGTGGGGGTGCATTGACAGGGGGGCCACTGTGTTGTGGTGGAGGTCCTGGGGGCGGGTGGTTCATATAGGGGACATCTGGCCCATGATGTGCCTGGTGGTGTTGATTGGTGGGGGAGCCGAGACAATGGGGGGGGAGGAGGGGGCCCTGGTTGTACACCATGTGTGGTGTCCCCGAGCCTGGGAGAGGATGCTGCATGGGAATGGCTGATGGGAGGTGGGCGGGGCGGTTGGGGGGGCCAAAGTGCTGCTGCGGTGGCGCCATCATGTGGTGAGAGTGGGCACTACAGGTGCTGACCAGGAATAGTCCCGGAAGTGTGTGGGGGCTGAGTGGGGCCTGGGCCGCCAGAGTGTGGCTCTCGAGAGGAAGAGGAGTCATCCTGGATGGGCACGGTAATCAGATTGCTGTGCTTACGGGTCGTTACCGTGGCGATGCGGAATGTCTCAGGACCAAGACCAGAGGAGGGGGGCGGGGCTTCGTGGGATGTGGGTGGGGGCGGCTGACTGTAGGGGTCGTGACTGCTGTGCTGGAGCGGGTTGGGGAGGTGCACGTGGTTCTTGGGTAAGTGAGGTGGAGGCACACGGAACCGGTCAGGGACCTCGGACGCAGGGGGCAGGTGCACAGGCTCCTGGCGGCCAGCAGAAGACTTGGCTGCCCTCAGGTGGCGGTGGTTGACATGGGCCTGCAGGTCACGCTGGGACAGGTAGGTGCGCTTGCATCCCGGCACGACACTGCACATGTAGAGGGAACCACGCTGGCACTGCTCGATGCGCTGCACTGGGTCTGTGCAGTTGTACAAGGTGAGGCTGAACACACAGGGACAAACGTTCAGTGACACACAGCCGGAATAAAACACACCTGAGGAGCATCACACAATTGTTGCATAAACAATTCTGTAATGCTCC